AAAAATATTTTAAAATATATATAAAATAAAATCACTTAAATTAATTTATTTGGCATAATTTAATAAAATTCAAACAGGCGAAACACCAGCAAATTTCTACTGTGTGAGAGGGCTTAAAATCTTCTAAAAATTTGTATCTTAAATTATTTGAAAGTTCATAAACTAATTTGCTTACTTACTGTGCATTATGCCACTGTGAAGAAAATTGATTTAATTTAATTCAAGAAACTTTTGTTGCCGCTGCTTACTTTCAACTTGGCAACAACAACAAAAACACTTTAATAATATCGACATTAATAACAATCTTACTAAATAGCTCTTTATCTCATTGTGTATTGTTGATTTTTTAAATAAAATGCGTTCAGAGAACTCGCAACACATCACCGGCCAGTAATGGACGAGGATTCAACGAGTTCAAAGTATCTCAGTGAGTGGCTGACAACTACTTCAAGATAACATATTTGTTTTTATTAAGTAATTTAACTATTTATTTGAATAAAAAACAAATCGAATGATGTGAAAATATGTGTAGGTGTCTTAAACTTGTAAAATATTGCGTAAAGTTTGTGGTGATAATGTATAATCCGGAATCTAGAATAAGAATATCAGTGTTATATTTGTTCAACGAAAATCAAAGCTGATGTTGCACTTATAAACTACTACACTTAGTGGGTATTACTCTAAAGACATTGATAAAATGTTGTTAGTTTTGGACAAATTAATAATGTACTTATATAGTTTATTATATAATTTGATGTACTACATTATTTTTGTATTTCATTTTCGAGTATTCCATACAAATACACCGTTTAATAAACTAGTTAATTTAATACCAACTAGTCAATATTTATACCCACTGATAATCCTAAAAAGTCAAACTCATAATTATTAACTGCTTAGTGATTGCCTAGATCCGATCCAATTTAACAGTAGAATGGAATATTTAATATGCACGTATCTGCACATACCTTTTCATCTATAGAATGTGATTATTTAAAAATCAAAGTAAAATATCCATACGCAGCAAGAGTAAAGTAAATTGCTTGTGCAATCAAAAATACTATTAAAACGATTATCCTGTAACTACATAGTAAGCAGAACATTAGAAGTAGATGTTTAAAGTCAGGAATTTCAAGCAGGGTGCAGGACTCTTTTATCGACTTTCTACCTCTTTTTATATGCAATACTCCGGACCCCTCGGAGATGGTCGGAGTCCTGTCGTATATTTATGATTTACTAATTTTTGTCATGGGCTAGAACACTTTCGAAGTTCACAACAAAACGAACGTATACCTTCCTAATGTAGCTTCAAACTTTAGAAAAAAAGAACCCCGTATCACACATTATATATGTTGATCAATTTTTTGTTGTTATGGTATTATGTTAATAATTAATTCAATATTATTGACGTCAAGTACAACCGTGTGTTAATTATTTTCCATACGGAAGCAGTACCTTTTTAAAGATCACGTTAGTATGGCAACATTAGGTCTTTTCAAGAAACATTACAAAGCACATTTCCTATACAGCAAGTACCCTTGTATCCCAAATAAGGTCAGGATACATTTACGTGCTAATCAGGTAGTAGTTAGAAGGTATAAATATAGCAATTCTATAACTAATTCAAACTCAATACATTTTTAGCTCTGTCTGATTGAAGTGGTAAGGTTTTTTCACCTCGACCACGGCTTGATTCAAAAGATAATAGGCCACATCATTTCTCACATCCCTATTCTCACACAAAACACCTTTTTCCCTCAACAATTCTCCATCGCAATCCACGTATTTGGTATGTAATTCTCTCATGTGTTTTGATATATATGTCCATGGGAATTATAATAACAACAATCAAAAACTGAAACTAAAATTACTAAAAATTACAGAGAAAAGTTCATTTTTCTTGATAAAGATAATTCTGTCTAGAAATATGCAAAAATATTACTGCATAAATTAGTGATGCTAAGTTATATAAAACTCATTATTTTTTTCTAAAGTTTATACAATAAATTAAACGGGACATGGAATTTATGCCTACAACATAAATGCCGTGTATTATCTTGAATCAACATCCAAAAAGAAAAAAGACCAAGGACTAACGGCCTTGAGTAACTGAGTAACAGTCTAGAGAGGCTTTATTTTTCTAAAGTGCGACTAATTTTATTAAATATAATTATATGATTATATATATTTAAAAATATGTTTAATATATTAGTAATTAGCGTAGTTGAAGAAAAATATTTGAAAATCTTAAAATGAATCGCCTAAGTCATTAATAAATTACCTATTTAATTAGCGTTCGAATTCAATTATGTGCTAAATTATCATAATAATCAGCTAATCAAAATAAACAAAACAATTATACAGCAAATTAAAGAAATTTTGTTTAGACAAGAAGAAAACAATTTTTAAATATTTAATTAAATATTTTAAGTGCTTTTGTTTAACTTGATTGGTTTTAAATGCTCGGGGGGAAGGAGATTATAAACATAAAAAAAAGTTTATGAACGTGGCAAAATAACTGCAAGTGCGTATATACGAAAGTACTTATACATATATTTCATTTGAAATTTATGTTCATATATATACATATACATATATACATATATGTTCAAATGTTGAGATTGAAACATTTGTACAAAAACACCTAATTGAATTGCTGCAACATCTGATGGACAGTTCCAATTTATTTTTGGCCACAAGCAAATAGACAAGCAATTGAGCAAATGGAAATTAGAACAAAATCGCCCTTCCAACATCAAGTACAGAACTAAAATGTTACGGATTCTATTAACGAAATCTACTGGGAGTAGCAAATACATATGTTGAACAATTCAAATTCGACACGCTAACTCATTTACGCCAATGATTTCAAATTTTTTGGTTGTGATGTGTAGCATCACAGAATCTCTGGTATTGCACTTTACAATTGCTAAACAATTAGTTACTAAATTAGCAGAGCAAAGCCGAAGTGATATATAATTAAAGCCAAAACCTTTATTAACAGAATATAATAGTCTCAATACGTGCATAAAATATTAATTTTTCAGTTCAGTTCAATTCGATTTTTACTTCTAATCATCCATTCATAGTTAGTACAATGTGGCTTGCTCTTGGCATGAGAATAATAACGTTTATGTGTCAAATATAATTGATTTCAGTAAAATGACAATTGTTCCCTAAAGTAAAATAGAAACTAATTACAATAATTAACAAATTGAAATGCAATTTTACCTTGCAGTTCTTTAAGTTTAGTTTTGAACGAAGGTATGTGTAGTCCAGAAGAAAATGATTCTATTTATTACAATAATTAACAAATTGAAATGCAATTTTACCTTGCAGTTCTTTAAGTTTAGTATTTTGAACGAAGGTATGTGTAGTCCAGAAGAAAATGATTTTATTTATTTCTGAATTTGGATTTTTTGATATAAAGAATAAACATTTCATAAAATACAAATATAATACAAATAGGTTAAGATATCTGCTAGTGGAGCATAGAGTCTCGTTATTGTTTTAGCCGAACTAGAAAACCTACTGTCCAATACAGATTTAAACAGAGATGACTAAATCATTAGTTCTCTTTGTAAATAATTAGCTTCTATTTGTTGCTTTTTCTGTATCGTTAAATGGATAATGTAATTTAATATTTTTAAATTGATTTTTAATTACTTACTTAGTTGGCGTTTACAGTCATGAGTTGTTTTTGGTCTTGCCAAGTAGCTTCTGTCAACTTGCTCTATTAATGACTTGCTCATTACTATCAATAATGAATGGCTTAAAATCATTCGCCAGCTGCTTCTTTCACGGATAATGCGGACGTCTTCTCCTTCAGCGGTTTCCGAATAAAAGCAAAGGAAGCTACATAGTTTTTACGTTGTCTAACTATGTCAGAGTATAATACATAAATAAATAAACAAAACAAATACTAAATAAAATTAATTGGGTGCCAAATTGGGACTTTAAGGCAGATGACTCATCAATTGAACATTTGGAGTGCCCAGTAACGCTTTGGAATGAGCTGATGTATGGGAGCTCGCTTTTTCGTGGTGGAGGATAATCTTTCCTCAACGGTTGGTTTTCCCTAATTTTTCGAAGACTTCCGGAAAACAAATGGAATTAACTGTAAGGCAGCCTACGTATAACATTTTTTATATAACTGTAGAATACCAAAATCAGCCTTTTTATTATATTTGATAGGATATCAAAATCAGATTTACCAGTATGGGAGCTCGCATTGTCATGGTTGAGGACGATTTTCCTTCCACGCTTGATTTTCCTTAATTCTTCTAAGACTTTCGGAAAACAAATGGTTTTGTAGCACTCAGAATTAACTGTAAGGCAGCCTACGTATAATACAGCCGTAGGATACCAAAATCAGCATTTTTATTATATTTGATAGGATATCAAAATCAGACTTACCGGTATGTAGTAAAGAATACTTTTAGTCGTATTGTTGAAATCTGATTTGAAATCAGCAAAAAACAATAATTTGGTTATTGTTTAATATGTGCTGAATTTGGAAGGTTTTAAACGATACTGATAAACTCCAATTAGTTTATTGACGATTGACTCGAATCTCTCACAAAATTTGTTCGGAAGCATTTAAATTTCGATTTAATAAGATTGGTAAAATCCAAAAAATTAAAACGTTTATTATTATTTTGTATTTTAATAAAATAACGTTAATTATGTTAAAAATAACAATGCAATAAATTATAATAAACAATTTGGTTTATCTTTTCGCTTTTTAATTTTAAAAAGGCTGATATGCAAAAGTTGAACCTTCTGAAAAATTTACATATGGAGTAAGAACGCATAAGCGCACGCAGCAATATTTACACAGTTTTATTTTCATAAAAAAAAATTATGATAAAAATTTTATTAAATTATATTTTTTATCATAAAATTACCTCTTCTCGTATATTATCAAAAGATATCAAAATGATTTAAAACATTAAGTAACACGGCAAAATTTAATTTTGTTTTTCTTGCTTTTATTTCAGAAATGAAACGTCTCCCGAGCGCAACAAACATTGAGAAAGTGAAAGTTAGTACTGTTAAATAAGAATAAAAACTAAGAGTTATAAAAAAATTTCAGTAATTTATATATACATATATTAAAAAAACAAAAGAATATAAAACAAGAATTTTATAAATATGAAATAAAAACTTGTGCTATTTAAACGCGATTGCCACAAAATGTACAACTCAAGACAGTTCCTGCCGACGTAGTAGGAAGCTCAAGCCAAATAAATGTGAAAAAATAAAATATAAAAGATATAAAAAATTTTGAAATAAACTTTGAAGCAAACAAACTTCAACTTCCAGTAATGGCGGAAAAGGACTTACGTGAACTTGTTGATATGTTAAGTGACACATCCGCGACAGATTTGGAAAACGTTTTTGCCAACTTTTCAACAGAAATGTTGCACCGTGCTAGTGATGCGTTCCAGAGTGGCACAAATTTCGCTACCGAGTTTCTACTTGCTGCTGATTCCTTCATCAACAACACACTGGAGAGAATTTGCTTGGAGCAACAGCAACGCGATGCAGAACAACATAAGCCAAATGACTCAGCTACCAATATCCGGTTGCATGTAAGTAGAAACTGTAGTGGTAAATCCTTTTTATTTTATTATATTTACTTTTTTTTGGCTTTAAATCGCAACTATTATCCATTTACTACAAAGGATTTGCATTTTATACCACATTTTGCTTAAAGGGAAAATATTTTTAGTTTGCTTTCTTTCAAATATGACGATATCCTTCTCAATATATACAACAATATAACAAAGAAAGAAAACTTTATATTTATTTTTAATATCAATCAAAACTTTAAGAATGTCTGTAACAAGCCATTAAATTCAAAGCTGAATAATAACTAAGAATTTTATGTTCCTTTTAATTATCCTCAGGATAAATTTATGTGCTCACACACGTGTTATAATTACATTAACCTTACAAAACTCAAACCGAAAATAAACTTGAAATGAAAAATAAACTTCAAGTACCAGAATTTATGCTTCAATTATATATATCCGTAGGATATACCATATTACAAACTTAAAGGGAAATAAAGCAAAAATATTTGGGCGAAATAATCATGAAACTTGTCCTTTTACGACATAACAAGATAATTTGGCATTGAACTAAAAAAAAATAAGATTTATCTTTTCCTCATGATAATTTTCTTTAACAAATAAAAAATTTATTAATTTTCTTCAAAAAAATATCAAATTTAGTTATATATTCACTCAGAAAAATAATTTGATTTATTTAACCATATTTTAATTAAATCTCAGTTCAAAATATTCTTATTCGCCGCATCGTGTTGGTTTAATCATACTACTTGTTGGTTTTCATATCTTCTTTATCACGTCAGCTAAAATGTCTCTAAAAAAATGATCAGGTCAGTTTTACTAGTATATGGTCAGAGCATATTTTAATTAGTGTGCGTAATATATAAGTTTGACAGCGTGAACACTCAAGCCCTGTTTGTAACTCGTAAACACAACCATCATCTGCCGAGAGTGAGAGTTGGAATTGGGAAGACAGCATCAAATACCTATGAATCACGTTTGATAAGCGGTTTACTTGACACAAGCATATACAAGTCAAAAGAAGTAGTTTCGCATAAACACTGCACTGCTTACAACCACTTTTCAAACACAATAACCTTAGCGTAAATAACAAAAAGCTGATCTACAGCCAGATAGCTGCAGAATAGCTGCCAAGTCTACTATCCAGAAGCTGCAAATTGCTCAAAGTCAGACTCTCCGAAGACTCTTTAAAGTGTCTTGTTATATCCGCATAAATGACATGCTAAGAGACCTTAGAATAGACCCGATCAAAAAATATATAAGGGACAGAGCCCTGAAGCTATTCGCGAAAACTGACAGGCTTTCCTACTTAGCACCATCTAACCACAAAATAATCTCTAGCCGCACGTGGTAGTACGCAGAAATACATAAGGATAATAGAATAACACATAATACATAATGAGGAATACATAAGTCAGTGAAAAGGTGGGACGCTGCAAAAATCTCCCAACTATCAAAGGGTAGAAGTGCTCAGATGCACTAACTCGAAAAAGACTACCTAAGTTTGTAGAGTCAGTTTGCATTTTCAAAATACTTCAATCCATAATACTGGCATACAGAATATTTTTACAAGATTACTATCGTTCAGTGTTAATTTTATTAAAGTTGTGTGTTTTCAAATTATTCTTTAAAAATAAACATATATAAACGTTTTAAATATTTTCATACAACAAATATTATGTTTGTAAAAAACAAAAAAAAAAAACGCAGAATATACTATGGGTACGACATAATTCGAAGGCTAAGTAACAAGTTCCTTTCCGAAAGAAGACCATTATTCAGTAGACAGGGTTTAGTTTGTTACATTTTAAGACATTTTAAAATGCAGTACCTTCTAACTGCAAGATGTTTTTTTTTTTAATTTTCGATTATCTCCAAATTTATAAAGACTAATCAACAATATCATATTTTTTTTTTTTTAATCTCCGGATTAGCAGACAATTGAAATTTCTGTAATATTTCAGGCCATAATGATCCGTAATGAAACCCGTTATTTCATTACAAGATTCTCCTTTTGAGAATTTAAGAATGTTTTTGTTGAAGTATGGTTTGATCAGTATTTAGCTTTGTCTAACTCTGTCCTATTAGTTTTATACTGGTCCAGCTTAACCCACAAAAGGGTTGTGGACCTGTAAAAACAGTTTTTAATGCATTTCTCATCAGCTTGCTCATTACCTAGAACTTCCTGTGGCGCGGAACTTAATAAAGACTTATCGTATTCCGAGCAGCAAGTACTTGTAGGAGCTCAAAACACTTGTGGATCTGTTTTGACTTGAATGTCCAAGAAGTTAAAAACAATATCATCCTATTAATAGATTTTATAAATTATACTAGTATTATGAAATTATTTGTGTTAACATATAATTCAAAATATAAGTATTTATAAATAAAAAAGTTCAATTTTCCTGTTCTAGAGGAATATATCCAATCATATGAAAAATAAGCTATAATAATATAATTATAAGATATAAATAAAAATATAGCCTTTATAGATTATAAAGAGTTAATAGCTCCCTGATTCTGGTTTGGCAGCACTATTTCAGTAATATATGTCAAACAAATGTGTTATCCAAGAAATTATCTGTGTAGTTTAAGCTCTTTATCATTTTGCAACCAATACTTATTTTGAGTACATTTTAAGTTCAAAGATTTTAAAATTATTATTATTAATTCATATTATTAAAAAGTGCCTTTCTATTTTAATAGTCTGCGTTAGCAGCTGGCTGCCCCGTGTCATTTGATTCCGTACTTTGTTGGCCAAGAACACCACCTGGAAAATTGGCGGTTCTTCCATGTTTCGAAGAATTTAAAGGAGTTCACTATGATACCACACGTAAGTTAATAAAAATTGTAAATAATTAATGTATATATATTATATTTATGTAGTATATATATAATACATATTTAATATATTATTCATGTAGGTATACACATATAATAAATATTATTTAAATAATGCAAAATATTGCATTTATATTATAATATGTATATTATATACAAAGTTTCAACAAAGTAAAAATAAAGTTGTATTTTTTACCATATATCTTAGTAACTATTGAAAATGGGATCCTTTCCCTAGAACTTAAATATATTTTTGATTCTGAGATCAGTGTATTGCTGTTAGCACTTATTATCTTTTATTATTATTTTATTTTTTTTTTTGATGAATTGACTAAATTATTAACTGCGACTTGTATTCAGTTATTTATATAACAAACAATTCGTTCTTATTTATACTTAATACATTTAAGTGAACAAGTGTTATAAGTGTTGTTTGCAAAAATACATCTGTTCTATATACTTCTCTTGTAAATAATGAAAACAATGTAAATATTTTAACATAACAAAACTCGTACAATTTCATAACAAATTTGAGATAGTTTTAGAGAAAGATATTATTTACCTGGACACAAATACACAATATTTTATCATATATAAAGTGTGTTCTTATAAAGCACAGCTATATTGCCTAGCTATAATTTTTACAATTCAGCACTAATTTATATTCAGTGCATCATGACAATTCAACATAATTGGACTTGTACCAAAACACTGTGCTACAATTATAAAAGAAATCCCTTAGCGTCATATATAGACGCAGTTAGTGTTCAATTTAAATCAAAGTTAAAATTAAAAAATTAGTTTGTTTGTATATTATGTTGAGGCTAGTTGAGACAGTGCACCTGAGCGCTTTTACTCTCTATTAACTACGAGGTTTCTTCAAAACCCCTCTTTGCGCCTTGACTAGATTATTGTTTATCACTTCATCAAACTAAGCAATAATTGACCTCAGATTTGCATACCTCTCCGAGGAGCCTCTAACCATTCTGAGATTTGATAACAGGGTGTTGTAAGTCTGTAAGATTTCGCAACATGAATCATTTATTTATTGGTGGAATGGTTGGCTTATATATTTTCAAAAATATTAGTGGCAGAAACGTTACGTTTAATGGATATAGCTATAGATTATTGATCGTTGACGTGTTTATTCCCCAATTGAAAAGCACTAATGTTATATATTAATGCTTTAGCTTTGGCGTCAATATTTCAATCACTGCGTGACACAATCTAATTAGTCACAGAAATATTTGTTAAGCGTATAATTTCAGGTAATGGTTCTGTGAATTGGTTTTCACAATCGTGGAGGGTCCCAGGACTCCGAACTCCTGTTTACATTTGTATGGAAATAAAATTAAAAAACTTTTCACGTATATAGTCTTAATAACTTTAAAGTAAATAAATGTTATACGTAAATAAGTATGCAATAGAGCATTTTAAAAAAAAAGTTTAAATAATCTAAAGTTATATAAAAATTGTGGGCACGATTCGATTTTCTCGGATACGATTTTGATAAATTCAGCTATTTCAATAACTTTTTCTACTTGGATATAACTTATTTCTCGAGATTTTAAATTGTAAATTTGTTACTTTGATTCCACAATCTAGCCATGTAGTGCCAATCAGTAAAAACAAATTTTACATTGATTATACAAACAAGGCGTAACTACAAATAAACGCTTCGTTGTCTCTTCGTTGTTGGGGATTTTTATATAAAAATAGAAAACCCAAAATTTTGAAAACTTAGCAATATTGAAAAAAATTTCAAAAGTGCTATCTTCATTAAAATTCTTTGTCGATCAGGATATAGGAATCGTGTCGAATTTTTTATTATATTATGTGGAAACTAACACAAGACTAATTGCAAATGAGTAGTTGAAATTAAAGATATTACAAGAATTCTTACAGAGCATCATAACTTGAATTATCACCACACAAACTGGGAACCTGGGTATTTGCTTTAACGGGCCTTGTAGAATTTGTATGGAACATAATGAGATCGTAAAATATGTGATAAGAATTTACCCGATACTGATGCATAAACGAAATAAATTCTTAGATGGGCGTCTTACATGGGATGGACGTCTTCGAAAAAATCAGAATAAATATATCTCTAGCTCGCATAGCAAAATTCTCCCTACTTGATAGTAATAATAATAGTACAAAAGGTTTTTGTTTATATCTTAAATGTAATACATTAATTCTTTCCGAACCCAGTTGGGAGTAATTTTAATAAGATAAATTTTAAATAATTGAAAAATGGTCGCAAATTTGAATTTGCATGTTACATCCTTTGGCTTATAGTGTTCATTAAAAAATAATAATTAATAAGTAATTTAATTAATATAAATACAAAAAAAATTAAAAAAACAAAAATAATTTCAAATTAAATTTCAAGCTTTAAGTTTATGTAGTTATATATCAAAATGACACGTTATAAGTCGAAAACAACATATGTGAATTAATTAACATTTACCGAAATAGCAGTCAAGAACTAATTGATTGCAAATTTTAAATATTTAAATATAAAGAACGAAACTGTGTGTCATGTTTTAATTTCCCATCGTTGTAACACTTAACATTGCTATTTATACCATAACTCTGAATAACAAAATATTTTCGTTGTCTACTTTCGTAGTTGATGGTGAGTTTTTTTAATTGTCAGTTGTTTATATTAACATTTTTGTATAAAATAAACCCGAACTATAATTAAAAAAGAATAATTAAAATTGTATTATAATTAAGTATGTCTGGTTTATTTATAAGGATAATTCATTTGATCCACACCTTTATTTCAAACTAAACTGCCTAATAATTGCCTTATATTGTAATAACAATTGTTATAAACACAATAAATTACTATTGCAATTTTATCATAATATTCGATTTATTACAATTTAAAGGCAGGGTTGTATTGGATTTGCATTACATGAATATAATGAGATCATTTAGCAAACTTAATGTGTTGTGAGGTACCTAATTGGTTTGTGTTGGAACTAGTTAACTTAACTATTTGATATAATGATGAAGTATAAAGTAAAGAAAATAAAATTACACGTTTTTTGTATTTATAAAAATAAATACAAATAACCAGAGTAATACGTTGACCTTTACGCCATTAATGTCAGTTATTACCCCAACCCCAACATATACACATGTCTTTTAAATGACAATAAAAGCATTAAATTCCTATTCTAAAAAATAGTGTAATTTCGATTTATTGTGATAAGTCGAAATAACAATATCAACTTTAATATTCTATAAGTTTTTTACCATAATGCTTTGTAAAGTAATTTGTAGCATTTGTTTCGAGTGCTTACATTTCCAAATATGTTAAATGAAGAACTTCATAATATAATGTAATATAATAATATCTCATCAGCCAAAAATGCTGGTTGTAGCGCAATACTTTAATTTTGTTTTACACGCAGCGTAAATGTGCACATTTATGCATAAATATTTTATTAATGCAATATGTTTTGTATTGTTGGCATCATTGTTGTTTTTTGTGTATGGTTATCATATTGTCAGCTAGTGGGTCGTAAGTATTCCTTTTGGTTTTATTTCCTCCTATATTAAAAACTTTTATTATTCACAATTTATTGCATTAAGTTTTTATTAATATATTAATTTTTATTTAATTATCGCAGCTATTTTAAATTCAATAATTGCTTAAGAACTATTTCTAGTGCAATATTCATTTAAATTCATCTTGTTATCATTTCAATATCTTTTTATTATCAACTCTTATTGATTCTGCAATTGCCAAATCTTTTTAGTCAGTTATCTGTATTTGTAATTTGTTTAGAGGATGATTTTTATTTCATTACACATTGATTTTAAACTGTGGCGTACTTGCTACCTTATTTAAGTAAAAACGAGAAGCAAAAATCGCTCAATATGCAAAAAAGGACCAGTTTCTGTTTCAGTAGTTTGCAAATATTTACATTGTGAAATTCGCATTATGAAACTTCTAAAACCAGGCAGAACACCATGTTTAAATATAACCGCAATGTGAAATTTGCGTTATGGCACTTCTAAAAACAGCCAGAACGCGAATTTCATGATGCAGCTATACTTAAACCTGGCATTCTGGCTGGTTTAAATATAACTACATCGGGAAATTCGCGTTATGGTACCTCTAAAAATAGCCCGAACGCGTTGTACGTAACTCCAAACAAACCGCAACGAATTTTATTTTATGGAACTTGTAAGAACAGTCATAATACGTTGTAATAATTGAGAAATGCAATATATTCACAAAAATATTCAATTTTAATATTATTAATTATATTACTTTTTAGACAAGGCATTTCGCAGTCAATTTAATAAACTTAATAAGTAAAGAAATCACATAATTCTAATTATGCGGATACAAGCATTTGACAATGGATTTATGAAAAGCATTTTCGATTTTGTTCTATCAGTACGTCACATATCAATATAACTCAGTTATTTTTCGGGTATCGAACCTTAATGTTGAAAACTTTCCAAAAAAATGCCACCAATAGCAAGAAGACGTGCCATATAGCCCATCTGTTCATTGTTATCCGCATATATTAGTTGACACTGGATGTACTGTGTAGTTTTGTTTAGGTAATCAATGTTAATAATATGGTACCTTAAACATTGATATTTGAAAAAATAAGTTATATCGGCATATTACTTACTTATTTGGCCATAACAACCCGTTACCGAGTTTTGGCTTGACGCAGCATATTTCCTTCTAGTACATCAATTCCGGTCTACCTCTACCTCTATTCGTTCTTCCTCCAACTACTGCTTCAAACATCTTTTTCGCTGGAGCATCTACATCCATTCTCACGACATGACTAAGCTTGCGAAGCCGCTGAATGTTAGTACGCTGAATTATATCAATGTCGTGATAAAACTCGTACAGCTCGTACTTGATTCGTGTGCGGCAGTCGACGCCAACTCGTAGAGGCCTCTAGATATATCGAAGAACATATAGGGTAGTAGAAAAAGTTGATCAATATAGTTGACTCTACACAAATCTGTTGTCATATCAGAAAGCGATATTACTTTAAAATATTTTTTTTTTTTTCAAGTGTGAGGAAGAAATATTCTTGCTGACATTGTTATTTTGATTAGAGAAGAATTTATTGTAAAATTTAATTTTTAATTTACTAAATTAAGTCGCTTTCATTTCTGCAACTTTTAGCAAAAATTATTTGTTTTAATTGAGCAGTGAATAAATGAAAGTCACTACAAAATACTCACTCAAAGCTATATTTAATAATTGGGGTGCAATGAACTTACTAGCGCTTCCTTCACATAAATCCTGTATATAATTACCCCGCCAAGGATAGTCGAAATATTAGTTTGTACGTAATGGGTTCATGGTCTTTACCGATTGTCATTTTAATTTCATGACCAAAATAGCGCGCAACTTGATCATTACTCGAACCATAAAAAATTTCTGTACTGTTTGGATAATTTAACCATTTTTGTCCGCTTATCTTTAATGTCTGCTTAAATTTCTGTCTGTCTGTTTGTTTGTTTGTCTGTTTATTGCCTGTTCGCTTGCCTGTTTGTTTGTTTGTTTGTTTGCTTGTTTGGATTGTGACTATTTGTGGCTTTACAGGCAAAAATTGCTGTTTAAATAAAGCAATTCTACGCGTATGATTACATTTCATACCAGGCATAGCCATCATCGGATCTGCCGCCTCCCACTTGCGCAAGCTTCCACTCTCATCACCCTTAGGTGCGAAATTTACAATTCAACAAAAAAAAATTAAAGAAAAACAATATCAAATTCTAAATACATAAAATAATAACAGACAAGGTGGTAAAATGACAAAACAAATTTATTCAAAACAGCAAAAAAAAAAAAATAACTAAAACTGGTGTTGTTTATTTAATTATTTGCCTAAGAAACATGTTGAATTATAAATTGCAAATAATAAATTATCAAAAATTTATCAAAATGCAAACAATTTTTGTTGAATAAAAAAGGCATTATTTTTTTATTTTGCTTTTTTTTTTTTACATTTAATTTACAATTGCAGATAAAAAGTAAAATTAAATTCTTCAAACAATAAAAATAAAAAATTAAAATTTATGCATATTTTTACAAAGCATAGGCAAACTTTGTACTAATTAACCCTTGACTGGCCAATTAACACTTGCTTTTCTCATAATTTTTAGGTGTTAGATTTTTTTCGAATTCTCCTTACAATGTTTGCAAAACATTTGCAGAAGCTTAATCAAATGATTTAATTTTGTACAATGCAAATAAGTCAATAAAATATTTTAAGATTTTCTACCTTTTATTGGTTTTTAAAGATACAGTGAACGATAAGAAATCTTCTTTATTCTTTATCGTACGAAAGTGAATGTTAAATTATTATAGCAAATAGCAAACAGTAGAAATTTTATTAGCATTAAGATTTCTTCATATTAAAACCTAAAAATAAATAAAAAAAAAATTTGATTATATTTTCCGCAGAAAACGCTACACGTTATTGCTTCCCGAATGGTACTTGGGACAGTTACTCGAACTACGACAAATGCCATCATGCACCTTCAATGCCGGTACCAGATTTCGCACCCAGTATTGAGTTGCCCGCCTACATATACTGCTGTGGCTATTTCATAAGTTTTACAGCATTAATTTTAGCTTTAATTGTTTTTCTCTGTTTTAAGTGAGTATCCTTTTTCATATTTAAACACAAATATCCTTATTTGATGAAATACCATTTTACCATATTTTACGAAATATTCCAAATGTCATTTAATTTTATGCTGAAACGGTAACTTGTGGCATCTGATTTCGTTTCGATGTTTAGATTTTTATTTAAATTTTATTTTTATTTAAATTTAATTGAATTTTCAAATAATGTTTCTCTTCTCGTTATTTTTTTTTATTTTGTGACTTCCAGAGACTTGAAATGCCTTCGAAATACAATTCATGCGAATTTATTTTTAACTTACATTTTAGCTGCTTTATTATGGATCCTAACGCTTTTTTTGCAAGTTGTAAGTTTGAATTTAATTTTTGTATAAAAACTTTTGCAAGTATTTTATTTATTGCAATTAATTATTAAATTTTGTACGTTTTAGATGACAGATCATGCCAGCCAAGCTGGTTGCATCACATTGGTAATGATGTTTCATTACTTCAATTTAACGAATTTCTTTTGGATGTTTGTAGAAGGTAAGCTTCAATTTTTTTTATACGTAAAAAGAAACAAAAAAAATAAATCTTTTATGTGTACGAGGGGTATTTGAAAAGTTTCGCTACCGACAGAGAAAGAAATATGTATATTAAGATTAAGTAACGAAGTTACGATTTTAGGTAAAACACATTACACAATTGTGTATTATTTACATCAGTAATAATTGTGTATTGATTATTTACAATAATAATACGTTTAAATAATATAACAAGAAAGCTACGATTTTAAGTAAAACATATTACTACACAATTATGTATTGTTTGCATCAATAATAATTATGTATTGATTATTTACAATAATAATATGTTTAAATAATAATGTGTAAATAATAAATATTAAATCTGTTCATTACACGTAAGAGGATACACAACCCGCCAAGAGTGAGAGTGGGAGATAAAGGAATAAACTGGGAGGATAGCATTAAATTAACAAACTGAGTTACCCAATTACCAAACTATTAAGAGCTTTTTTAGTACGAAATCTCATCTTTCTAACGCCAGCTAGCGTAACTCGGACTTATACTACGCAGTATACAGATAACTGAAACTATCTATTGGGGAAATATTAAATTTCCTTTTACTACATCTAATATAAAAACTTGAGCTTCAAAATATATTTAAATGCTTAAATATGCTCAATCACAATGAGGTGTTTCAAAATTTTTGAAAATCATATAGTGTTGAATATCATTTATTATTACAAGTATTTATATAAAACAAAAGTATAATAAATTGAAAGAAACAATATTTCGAATCCGGGTTGACCTCAATTGTTTGTGCATCGTATTCCTTAAACACTTTAAAACAGTAAGAAAAACTCAATCAAACCTTACTTTCTAGATTTTTATATGGTTACACACTAATAAAATCGAATAAATATTTTCACCGTTAAGTACTTGTTAATGTTCGCATACAAATCTTTTCTAACACACTACGTACTATGCAATAATTTTTTTTTTAAATACTCGAACGACAAAAATTTCAATATTAAGTTTTGAATTTATTAAATATTAAAAGGAAGAGCACGTGAAATTTCATCTGTTCCCATGCCTTCATCTTATTCGACGCCTTACTCGGTGTGAGAATTTGGCGCTTCCATGATAACCTTTTATAGATTAATATTCAATATTTTTCGTTCATACCTTTTTGAGGTAGTGACAACTTTTTTTAATTATGTTTTAATTGGTTAAAAGTCGCCAAGTCTATTGAGTTGTTATTCCTAAGATGAATTTGGGAACATTAAAAAAGTATTTTTTTCATAGCCTTTAAGAATTTTTTTTTTTGAGAGGAACTTAAATGTACGTTTCTTTTTGCAATTACTTTTGTAAAATATTTAATGTATTGTAAATGCATTATTTATTATGTGCCCAAATAAAACTTCAACAGCATTCGGTTTAAAGTTGTATTCTTAAGCTTATTTAGGAATAAAATTGCTAAATTTCGAACGAAAATATTGACGTACTTAATTTTGTATGTGTTTTTAAATCTTACTCAGTTACGAGTAAATAAATACTGTCATATTATGGATAATGTTCATTCCATTTGCTCTAAGTATCTAAATTAATAATTTTTTAATATGCTAGCTAGCTGAAACCAGACATAGACCTAATAGATTCATAGCAATACCATATTAGAGTCCTTAAAGGTAGTAAGTGACGCTTTACATTACACAACATATGTATGAATTTTAGGAGATAGTTCCAATATCAGGAAGAAAATTAAGCTCCGCAAAATTAGTAGTTCCATCAACGCTGACGGAGCTACCAGCATGTTCTGCAGCCAGACAGTATCAAATTCAAATATTAACTAACAATTTGCAGGTAATAATCCTACATGGTTTATGCTAGATGTTTTTCACTTTTCTTCATACATGGTCGTCTAGTATATTCCTCACTAAATTAGGTTGATGTTTGCTTAGTTCAGCGCAATGGATGTCATCTTTAACTCCTTGTCGTATGAAAAACCATATGTAACAATGTTGAAGTAGTGCGTCCGGTTCTCAACTCTCATTTTCGGTAATTGTTTTAATCTTTTAAGATACATAATTACATAATTAAGATACATAATTGGTTTTATAAAATCTAAATTAATTACAATATTAATGCTCGTACAATATTAGCCTTTTAGTTAAATTTGCTATCGAGTTTATTCCAAACAGTGTAATTGCAGGCAGCTTGGTATAGCTTTACTAAAAGGCGTTAGAATTGTTCTGATAACTCCAGTGCTAGAAAGCGTAGTAAGCCGAAGCTTATATATGTGTATCTAAGTATGCATATATAGAAGTTGTTTCCATCAAAAAATTTCACATTACAGTGTTTACCGAATCATATACAAATCAATTGAATGAAATAATATTCTACGTACGTATTAATGTATATTAAGAAAATTCTAACTGTAGGTATTAACTTGTTATTTAAGTTACTATCTACAATTACAAATTGAACTATTCCTCATATCAAACCCTGCCTTATATATGTAATCCAAACTACAATACTTATATTTAAATATATTTTTTTACTTTCAGGTCTGTACTTGTACACTCTTGTAGTCCAGACATTTTCTAGTGAGAATATAAGATTTCTAATGTACGCATTTATTGGTTGGGGTAAGTGTCAAACTAAACTTTTATATAACTTATTTCGTTTATGTAGCATGTTTTTTTATTAAAATAGATTTATTTTGGGAGAAGTTTTTTCAAAAAATTAAAATTTTATCATTAACCATAATAAATGAGCTTTCAAGAAAATAAGAAAACACGTTTTTACAAACATTAATATTATGTTATAAAATATATTTAATATATTTTATTTTAATTTTATTTTTCCAACTTTTTATCTGAATTTTTATTTTTCTTATAACAATATTTATAAATAAGATTCAATCAGTGTTACACGATAAAATTCAGTATTTATGTGTCACTTTGGCTATAAAGTACGAAAACCCTTCGATATTATTTCAATGCCCATTCTCGTGTTTAAGTGTTTTGTTCTTAATATACCTAGGTTCTCCTACAAAGATTCTCTCAAGACTTAGATCTTGAACTTAATCAGAGTTCATTTAGATATGCTGAACAACTGACCTATAGTTTCTCAATAAACTGAAATAGAAATCTTATTATTTTGTGGTAGCTTCCAGACCTTGAAGACAGGATGAGCTTTAATAAACAGAAATCTTTAAGGATTCATTACTTAATCCATATAGTCCCAAAAAAACTTATAGCACTGAGCAAAAATGATATCAGAATTGGCATATTGCTTCTTACAAGACACTGGAACTATCTTCACAAAATTGGCATCATAGAGACAAATATTTACCGCTTTATTGTAAATACTTATAACTGAGAATAGCAGCCTAATCCATTTTGAGATTAACTTCAAATTCCCAATGACATTTGGATCACGTAAGGTATTCATATTTATTAAAACTCTAAGAACTGGTTAAGATATCTGAGACTACTACAATAGACAATCTAAATTGCTTTGCTTAGTATTCCCCACTTTATAATAATAAACCCAGATCTTTTGGGGAGTTTCCTCATGCTATATTGTTATCATTAATTTTATTTTTTCTGGTTATAAAAGTCATTATTGAATTGAAATTCATATGTTCGGATGTAATTTGTTTATGTATATATGTTCTTCTGTATTAAGTTTGTGACATTTGTTTCAGTTGTATATAGAATACAAGTGTCCATGTATCTATTTTTGCAGTTAAGATATTGTATAGTGTTGGTGAGATACTTGTCATTTTGTGTTTGTGAGATACTTCAATTCTAATGTGTTTTAGAAGTGTGTTGGTTGATTCTCACTCGGAACTTTCTTTTGTGTAGAAAGGGGCCGGTAATTTGGTCAGTGTTGAATATTTATTGGTTAGTAATTTTTATATCAGCCAACATATCCGACTTTATAGATAACTTAAAATATGTCAAATGATTGACTACTTTTTGTTTAGGGTTGCTAGAGTGTCTTTTGTGCAATGATTTTTTGAAGTATGTTAATTTTTTCTTTTTTATAAATTTAGAACTTTAATTGGAAACACACTTAACTGAAATAAATTAATATAAAAGCAATACTGAATTAAAAATTTGTAAAATAATCTATGTATTGGTTAAAAATTAGGCGTTTATATTTATGATAAATAGTTTCTTCACAACTTATTCTATTTAAATAAGTGTATCTTATATAAATATTAAGTATTATATTTAAAATATTTTGTATTATATTTAAGTTAAATTTCCATTTACTTTTTTTATTATGATTTTTTGTGTTAGGAAATCATTTCCTCAAATTAAGTATTTTAATATAGAACAGCTTGTTTACACTCGTATAAATTATTTAAAAGAAATTTAAGTACCATTTTTTATAATTTTTTTTAACAAATTTGTTATATTGTTTTTTAGGTTGCCCAGCAATTGTAGTATTTCTTTGGTCCATTGCCAAAGTTTATGCGCCAAATTTGGAAACAGAACATTTTAATGGCGTAAGTAATACAATTAAAATAATTTGTGCTAGTTTTATTAAATAAGTAATTAAAAAAACATAAGTTTAATTTCAAAATACTTTGACAACTTCATAAATACTAATTTATTATTATTTATTCATTTCCTGTTAAAAATATTCTGGCTAATATATGTATATTGCAAAATTTTTGAAAGGCCCTCCTTCATGTGTATAATAGATTTGTTTTGTGCGCCTTTTAAAACTCATTAATTTTCACATTTCAATCAAAACAAATCAAATCAATTCCGAACTGGTAATAAATTTTGTTAAATTGACTACTTAATATTAAGCGATACTAATTAATAATTTAATACATCATACATGCCTGCATAAAAAACGGTATTTAATTACTTTTTAACGCATATATATATACATATATAGATTCATAGATTCTTGACACTGATATGTCTGTTATGACAAAATCCATACTCCGTAATCGATGCCTTAGTTTTCCCTGTTTGCCAATTTCATAGTTAATTAAATAATTAGAAAATCCCTTAACGATATGCAACACACGTGCTAGACTCAATTAATTTTCTTATCAAAATGTGATTATTTTATTAATTACGTCACTTATAATGACATATGTACATACTTGTACTAATACAAGTGAATTCTAATTTAGATTTCAGTTCAATAGAAAAGTTCAAAATGAGTTCAACATCCAAAGATAGTAACAAATATTCTATGAAAGTAAACTGTTTCTTTTGAAGTATTTACTTTTTTTTTTGTATTTAGTAGTATTAAAAATTAATAAATGCAAAATAAAAAATACAAAGAAAACAATATAAAAATAAAATGCTAATAAATTTTAAAACGACTTAAACAGTCTCTGGAGTGCAGAGATCGTCCGTCTACTTTTCATATAGGCTTAAGTACAATACATTTATTTAAAATGAAACTCAAATGAAATTCATTTTAAACATGTCTGAAGGTACAATTTACTTAAGTCTGTCTTTTGTGGTAAGGATAAAGTTGTTGAAAGCACAGCACATAAAGGACATTAAGACACTAGCACACGTACGCTGGCTGGCAGTCCGTAAATATGTTGACGTACAGGACGTAAGAATGTTACGTGCTCATATGAGTAACACAAATTCGTTTTGTATTAACGCAATAAATTCTGAACTTAACATGTTATGAATACGCAATAAAAGGCTCATAAATATTTACATAACATGCATATTCCCATACGCATCCTTACCCATAACCCATAACCTATCGAGCTAATAACATTTACTCATACATTTGCAACGCATATCTGTTGTATGAATTCAAATCAAAAAAAGGATCAACAGGTTTAACAGTGAGTTACATTTTTTGCGGAAAATGTGCGGTTTATGATTTCAGATTCTTTTTTATAAACTCTGCAGTAAGCTACCACTACTTCGAATCCTTTTATGTCCTTGTATTTGATGTTTTATTATAAAGTTTCTTTTTTATTGCTAAATCGATGTACACCTCGGATACACATGTGTATCGTGCTTACAACAAAGTACTAAATAAAAATTGGATTTATATAAATGCCATCCATGAATTTTGGAAATATTAACCGTAACGCTTTCATTTTGTAAATTTTCTAAAACAGATTTTTTTGATGAAAAGGTATTTTTAATGAAAAAATAATTCCTTTTATTTAATAAATTTATTTAAAATTAAAATGAAATTATTTAAAATAAAATTAAAAATACTTTTTTTTAAAAAAATCTATTTCATACACACGGAGTGTGTTTAAAAGCATACAGGACTGTTTATAAAGAAGACCAATTATAAAGAAGACGTGTTCACACTAGGATCATTTAAGGCATGCTTTACAAGAGATTTGCAGTATAGACATTTGGTTTTATACATCTTTTTGTATGACTCTTCACACCGTAAAGCAAGTTTCCAAAGGCGTTCAATAATCGTTGCGATTGACAAATGATCGTAAATGACTATAATTCGAGAACGCTTGATTGAGTTTGGATGTACACTACTTCTCTCTCTTAATGGTTAGAAAGAGCAGCTCAGACTGATTGGGATAATGCAATTCATTCATGTCGAATCAATCAAAAACCAGAACTAAGGAGCTTTTAACGCTTGATTGAGTTTGGATGTACACTATTTTTCTCTCTCAATGGTTGGAAAGAGCAGCTCAGACTGATTAGAATAATGTAATTGCCTGTAGACATGTTAAAAAATTAATGTCAAATCGATCAAAAACCAGAACTAGGGAGCTTCTAAAGCTGAACAAAAATGGCATCCGACATGTCACAGGGTTTCTCACTGGACATTGCGGAGTAAATAAGTATCTATCGAACCGAGGTATTACAAGTGACGATAGGTATTACAAGTGACGATAGCTGCAGACTTTGTTGCAAAGAAGAGAAAACAGCAGAACACATTCTTTGTCACTGTGATAATCTCGCCAGACTCAAACTTCGGTACTTATCAAGTGCCTATTCACTTATAACGGAATAAGGCAACAACTCTCCAAAGAACATAATTGCGTTCTTAATTGCCACTCGTCTATGGAACTAAAAAGGATGTGTCACAAAATTCACACTTATAACGGAATTAGGCAACATCTCTCCAAATGACATAATGGCGTTCTTAACTGCTGCTCGTCCATGGAGCTAAAGTGGATTTGTCACAATATTCTTTAAAGGATGCAGTGACGTAGTGACAAGTTCCTAACCCGTTTAAAATCTATCTATCTATCTACATTAGTTCTTATGAGCTTGTTCAGTCGTATGCGAGATATTAAATGAATATGTATAAGTGTTGATAGTTATATGAGTACCAACACCAGCTAGTGATAAAAAATGAGTGTTATTATCTAATATATAATATTGGATTGGATAAATATAAATATTATATATATATACATATTATCTAATATATAAATATTGCATTAATATAAACAATTTATATATATATTATCTAATATATACTTTTAGCTTGCCAATAAGTGGAAACCATATTTAATAGAAATATGTTATATACATGCTATCAGACAGTCAAACTGTTTTAAAGTCCAACCATACATCTCTAAATCAGATAATGACACAGTTCAACATTTTTCTAATGTGGGTCATACATATATATTCGGCAATTGCAAAGTAGACGAGCTAGCCAGACGCGCTGCTTCAGGAAATCACTTACTAAATTATTTTTGTGCTGAAACTTTTATTAAAAGTTGGGAACAATTAACGATATGTATGTAAATTGGACACGTTCCACTAAAAAGAAATTCAATACTCTCATTAAGATACCCCGTAAAGATATTAGTCTTATGGTAGTTTTATTAATAGGTCATTACAGATTAAGAACCCATGAAGATTGCATCTCCCTTATAATAATATCTGTGGTAGTTGTAGAGAGGACGATGAAAGTGCTTCTCGTCTGCTTTTTTCTTGTCCAGTCCATGCGCTCACCGTCTTCGTATTATAAGGATTTTCTTTTTTAAGGATCTTTGTCAAAAGCAAGACATCCCATTAAATGTAATTTATCAAATTGGTGTTTTGCCAAATGTTAAAGATGGTTTTTAACGTCTGAGTTTTTCCTTTAAAAGGTAACAAATAGAAATAAATGGATCCCTATAGATCGTCGCTACAACCTAACCTAATATATAACTTGTGATAAAATTATTGCAAAAATCTTTGATATACCTCTGAAGTTTATAAAATTGTTATTTAATTATTTCACTAACATTACATGGGCAATAATAAAAATAAAATCAAGTTTTTGACACAAAAATAAAATTGAATCAAATTGAATACAATTTATATCACTTACATTAGCTCCCTAAAAAACCAACGTTCGTGGTAAACACACATAGTTGGCAACACATAATTTAGTTATTAGAACAGAGAAGGACTTTAAAAGCCATTCTGTGTACATTTGAGTTATCATATCTTTTTATGTATCGCTTTTATGATTTATTAAGTTAATAGCAAAATTTTGTTGAAATATAAAGTTTTTACCAATTCTAACTAAATCGGTTTTATGTAATTTTTCCCTGTTTTGCTTTTTTTTCTTCGAAGTGGAATAATTGTCAGCAATTCTCTGCGAACAAAATGTCAATAAAGATACATTTTTTTAACTATTTATGAAAGTGAAGTGAAAAAAGTAAGAATTTTTTTGTGAATGTAATAAATCTGCAGTTAGAAAATTCCAGTGTAGCCAATTTTTCAAAAATAGTTTAACTTCACTTACGGCCTCAACGAAACCCTCGCTTGAGTTGCCACACTTGGCACTACTACTCTAGTAGTGCAATTTATGTTACTCATACGTCACGTATGCCAGTGAATTTCTTTAGGGGTTTAAATTTATGGTCTAAAATCACTTAAAGGGCAGTTGAAAACTTAAATAATAAATGATAAAAACGAAATTTGAATATTTAAAGAGGCAGGCAAAAAGGTTAAGTGCGTTTATGTGGAACATGCTTCGGCATTGTTTGGTACATAAAAGGGCTAATAAATTATTAAAATAAATAAAATAATGAAAGAAAAATAATGAACCTTTTATTTCCTTGGTATATGTATGTGGTATGTGTATTTAGCTGTTTTATTATGTCTGGTATAATAAAACAAACTTCGAAACATAAACAAAAGTGAGTAAAAAACAATAGAATATTTACTTGTAAAAGTTAAATAATTTAACAAAAATCAATTGTTCGTTTATGCTAACATTAGAAAAATTTATCTAAATGAATAAAATGAATGAATTTGAAACTGTTGGTTTATGTTATACTTCCAAAAAAATCTACAGTGATTTTTATTGTAAAAAAGGATTATTGCAAATATAGCTAATAGATATAATACTCTAATTAATTATTTATATGTATATGAAAACAGAAACTCATAGACTAAAAACTAATTTAAAAAAAAATTTGAATAATTCCTAGCATGTTGATAATACCACATTATAGATATAAACAAAAATAATAAGCAAAAATAATTGAAGCATCATTAGAGAAATTTTGATAGAGCACTGTAGGTTAAACTTTTACCTTATTATTATTATTTGAAAAGGAGTAGTGCACTCTGACTTAAAAGATCTATTGTGCCCCTTAGTCTTATTAGAGTGTTTATCCAAGTCCGATTTCTTTAATGAAAGACAGTATAGAGCCTATCTTTCCTAGTCTCAAATCCTTATGATACACGAAATATCCTCCTAGGTGTTGTTTTCGCTTGTGCATCAGTGCCAGACACTATTAACAGTCTCAGTGCCGTTCAACTTTTACTTTATTAAACTGTGAACATACTTTAATGGAAATTTTAAGTAAGTTTTGTAGGAAAGAAAGACCTCGAAACACATACTGAGTGTTTGATTGGCAATGATAAACGAAAAAAGCTGGGTCGGCATCTCATACCGGATGAATTAAACTTTGTAATGTAGACGCAATAACTTTGAACTTTGGGGAAACACTATAAATTTATGAACAGGACACAATAGATGTCTAGGACCCCTAACATAATAACAGTACATATTTTTAAATAACTATGTATAAGTTGTGCAGAAATAAATTTTATTTGATAGATAACAATATTTTTCATTTACAAGAAAATTTTGAAAATATTTACTAAATTTACGTTCTACAACAATTAGTTTATATAACGGCCAATCAAAGTACGAAAATTGATGCCAGTATACAGAGTTGTATTTAGATTTATAAGGGGTGGGCTTATAAGCTAACCCGCTGCACCCTTCTTCGCAAGTTTGACTGGCTTTTCATTTCTACCATTCTCAAAATGATTAAAAGAATTATTTTTTAATTATTTATTATTTACTAATATCTGTGCTTTAATTAAATACAAAATTTAATTTATATACAGTTTTAAATGTATATAACTGTCATTTATATTTTTTAAATATGAAACCACTTTTTCTCAAACTTAAATAGTGCACACCTGTATTTTTTCGAATATTTTTAATCACGTTTCTAAATTTATGCGAAATAAAACCAAAAACAAACTATTCTAAGTCTAAACGAATAGTCCATTCGATGATATTGAATTTTCATTACAATCTGTATTTTCATTGTGTGGTGAATGCACTGCTGCGGTGAGGAAACCAGTGTGTAACTGAACTGCAGGTGCCAAAGGCAAGTCCATATTGCGCTGTGCTGGTAATAAAGTGCCAATGGATACATGCTCGATTTTTTGTTATTTTATATCCATGGGAGGGCCCAGTGATGCAACACAGTCAATTTCACTTTTATTTATTTTTTTAAGTAATTTAAAAATAAACCATTAAATTTTTTCACAATATAAGACAAAAAAAATATGAAAAAAATCTATAAATAATAACATTCTCTTGCATATGATGAGTAACATATGAATGTTAAAAGAATATTTAAATATAACTATTACATATTAATTATACAATTTTTTTTTAAATATATGCATTAACTTACTTAAATTAAATGCAATTTCCAACTTCCTATTTATTAACCAAATTACTTCAGCTATATGCCACCATTAGAACGTGATCTCGTTTTTAATGAGGTTGTTCACAATGGCGTGTAATCGTATGCGGTTATTCAGAACACATTCCCACTATTCTTCGCTGTGTTAATTTGTTGTGCTTTATTACAGAAAAAGAAAAAACTGTTATAAAAACCGCACAAATGTACACTTTCCTTTCTCTGTTTGTACTCCTATTTCCTTCCTCTATTTCTACTCATATTTCCTTTTGGTACTTGTAGTCTGACGTGCCTTAGAATAGAATGGGTGCTTATTATCTACATATGCCGCCTTGTAGATTTTATCTTAATAAAATAATTCATTTATTTCTAATATATATATTTTGAGTATAAAAAAATAATATATGTATATATATATACATTTATGGAGATATATTAATTGTATTTTCTTTCACATTTTAGTTGGACATTGACTGCTCTTGGATGAGAGAATCTAAAATTGACTGGATATTTCAAGGTCCAGCATCATTGGTGTTAATATTGAATTTAATATTTCTCTTACGTATTATGTGGGTAAGTAAAGTAACCTAAAAAATATGTACTGAACAGAAATACAATTATAACTCAGTAAGTAATTATTGGAGTGAAGGAAAAATATTAAAGAACTTCTCCATATATGTCTTCACATTAATATTTAAAAGACAAGTTGTATGCAGAATCTTTGTTGCAAATCATGCAGCATACACCACAATCTGAAAATTAATGAAAAACTAATCCGGTTAATAAATGCAAAGAATATTGTAAAATATTGTAAAAAAACAGAAAGTGAGATGAATAAGCATACCTTGAAAGAATGAATCTATGCGGGAACAGAAACAGATTTTTTATTTCAGTCTAGCGCATACGACTACCATTATCAAACACACGTGTTATTAATTACAACGATAAAGACTTTAGAACTTTTGGGAGAGAAAATATAAAATCTTAGATAGAGATAAAGGAGATGTAAATAGAGGAAGCTAGAAATACTGTTTATTAGTATCTGAGTAAAAACCAATTTTTCTAATGCCTTATTCACTGAAAACTTATTGAAATTTTTCTAAACATGAATTTATCCTATAAGGGCCATGCTATGCAGAGTGCTTCGGGTTCAAACTCCGGCATGAGAGCCGACGTATTTGTGCCTCGGCACTAAGGGAAAACAGTGCTGTTTAGTAATAAATTTTAGAATTTGCGCCTTTAAGGCGCAAATTATTTTCAATAGACCACAGAATTTTCTGTGCAAAAACAGTTTATAGTGTCTCTTTAATTTTTGAAAAATTAAATCAAGTGCAATCCCAATACGTGAACTTGTGCCCAAAAAATATTGATGAAATATACGCAACTCAAACATACTTTTGGTATTGGGTCCAATAAGTACTGCAATAATTTTTTGATTACTTCTGGAACAAAGCAATTATTTTTAGTTCAATTTGAATGATGTCTTTGAGAAAAACGAATAGATATAAAAAAACCATTTTCTATTTAATGCTTCATTCAATATTTTATGTAATTTATTACTATTAAATAATATTTATTATAATTATTTATAGCAAAAGTAATATTTTAAGATCTATTTGAGCTTTTTACCCATAACTGTTCATTGTATTTATTTTGAAAATAATTTTTTATATAGTATATTACTTTTATATTCTTATTTTTATTCTCAAACTATTCTTAAAGATTTTCTTTAAATATATTTTACAGGTGCTTATCACAAAGTTGCGTTCAGCTAATACACATGAAACGCGCCAATATCACAAAGCAGCAAAAGCTTTATTAGTCTTAATACCATTATTCGGTATAACCTATTTACTTGTGCTGACAGGGCCAGAACAAGGTATTAGTCGAAATTTATTTGAGATTATACGTGCATTTCTCATAAGCACACAGGTAAGTTAAATCTTTATGAAGTAACATTTTCAATTTTTGAAATGCAATAAGTTTATATGATATTTTAGGGTTTCTTCGTGTCACTTTTCTTCTGCTTTCTCAACTCAGAGGTACGACAAACGTTGCGTCATCGCTTTGACAGATGGCGTGACAATCGCAACATAAGCCGTGGTAACTCCCAACGAAATCGAAGGTAAATAATTGAATACTGTACGTACTGCACTTAAACAATTGATATTTATTGAATTTTTGTTGTTTTTTTTTTCACTTTAATATGCATAAACATTAATCGTTGTTGTCGTATTATTCTATGTGAATTGTATTTATTTTTAATTTTGAGTCGCTTGTGGCTACTTTACATAACTGAACTCTCGTTTCATTCTTGTGATTTTAAGTCTTTTTTTTCCCCGAACATTTCGTTTAATTGTATACATTGTTTGTCGAGTAATATTTTTAATGTATACATTCATCTTTTTTCATAGTAAATAATTTACACAATGAACTGTTATTTTTTGAAAAAAAGTCACTTTCTTTCTATTTATAGAAAATGTGAATTTTTTTGAAATAAATTTAAAATGTAGTTATCACAAAACCCGCTTAAATTTTTTTAGAGAAATATATTCAAGAAAGATTTTTACTTTAGCAGCAAGTAACTTCATTTTTTAGAGAAATATATTCAAGAAATATTTTTACTTTAGTAGCAAGTAACTTCATAATATACATAGAATATAATGGAAATAAACAGGTTATTAGCTGCTAATGTAGCAGAGCGTTTCGACTATCGTAGATCTTTAATGTTAGTAACTGACCTTAACACTTAACTCATTAAATAAAGATTAAAATTTAACCTGATAAGTATTTCCTCATTAACCCTCATATGAACACTCGAGCTAGTTAGATCCTCCTGGTCCATATCAAAACCAAACAGTGACAAAGAATGTGTTTAGGATCTCATCTTGTTCTAAACAGAGCAGTTATTTTATCGTATTCTACAGACTTTTCTTGTTAAGATGACAATGTAATGTTAAATTAGATAGCCTGCTAATATGCGCAGTTTTATTTTACTGAGAAGAGATCTCTTACCAAGGTGGTAGAATAATGTACTAGTTCTTTAGCCTCACGACTTGTATAGTTTTCAATTTTTGCGTAACAGTAATTGTAACAAGTAACAAAAGTCCACTAAAAAACTCGAAGAAAACTTGCGACATTGTGGTGTGCGACAAAAGACTCTTAGTTGCAGGATATTAAGGATGTGTGCGAGTTAGGCTAAGTTGCGTTCTAAATGAAGAAAATTCTAAGTTGTGCCGATAATGTATTGATGTGTCGATACGTGTTGATAAATGGCTAAATTTGTGGAGTAAATTTGTCTCTCTTTCTGACAAGGAGCTGTATTCTAAGACCATTTATTCTATCCATTTCAGTTTTTCATTATATTGTCATTTATAGGAAACAAAAATATTTTAGAAAACTGTCAAACGAACGGTGTACTTCTCACTAAACTCAATTCATAGAATTTAATAGACATATTGACAGGTAATCTGGATGTGTATTTGCAATATATGGCTTCACAAGATTAACATGCCTGAAACAATGGAAAATAATCTTTGTCTAGAAGAGAATAAGACCTCATGCAACATTTTATATAATTGCCTTGAAAAATACTAAAGTATTGACTATGTTGGAAATAGAATACTTCTCCATTCTGGTATTTATTTAGCATGTAGAATAAGTGCCGCTCGCTTAAAAGGTATATTTCTGAAAATTCAGGTGCTCATTAAGCGTATTAGAAGAAATTCAGTTAAGAAATTTATTGTAGACAAAAATATTCTTTTAAGGGTACTATTGCTCCTTTTAAAGTTCCATTTACTATTATTTAATTATATTTATTTAAAACACTCATATGTAAAAATGTTTTTACTACTAATAAATATTTGACTTTTATAAAGTATATGAATTGGACTATAAACTTATTTTACTTAATTTATTCTTATTTATAGTATATATTTTATTTTTCAGATATCGCTTTTCTAAGGATTATTCACACAGATCTAGGACAGAGAGCTTGCGGTAAGATTTAGAAATGAATTGTATTTTAAAATACATTTTTTAATTAAATTTTTTTACATTGCCTTTTTTGTTTAAAAGTTTCTAATGATTTAATGCAGTTGATATGCTTAATTGCATTTGACAATTTTGTCATTAGTAAAGTAAATAAAGTGCCACACAACCCTTCCGGAATACATTTCTCGGCTCATTTACAACGCCCACATTTGCATTTTGCGTCTTCCATCTTTCGATGTCGTCTTCAGTACACAAACATTAAACATTTTCTATTTTACATAGTCGAGTTAGCAACCAAGGATAAGCCAGCAAAATAAATAAACTAGAAGCTGAAAACGTGTACTACTGACTCCACATGACATCCTCATGGAACCAGAAGCATTTCATATGCATTTTAAAATAATGTTGCTTTCATGTAGTTTTTTAATGTGGTTATATCTTTTATCTAATGTTGCATGACATTAATAATTTTTCTATGTCTTGTTTCCTTTAAAACTAATACAATAGAAAAAATACGGGGGATCTGCCACATGTTATACGATTCGCGTAATATGATTACCAACTTAATAAACAGCAAATAAGAAAATATGTTTTACATCCATAGCACATATTAAATTAAAAAGTATGCATAAAAAAAATTTCAAGAAACTAAAGATGCAGGTTTTTTTTGTGTATATTATTTAGATGAAAAATTCCTAAAAATTATTTTTCTTTACCTTACTATAATGTGATTTAAGAAATTTCGATTACAAAGCTTAAGAATGGCGTTTGGCTAAGATATCTGATATCTTTCGTATACATACTTTAAAATTGCTATCATTTATTTTAAGCGAAATCTTAAACAAAGTCCTAGTAAACTATTTTTTCCAGAACACTATCAACAATCTAACTTCTTTTTTATCATAAGTGGATCGATACATAAACTGGAAACATATAAACAAGTGTAAAGTGTAAACCATTTTCATTCTCTATAATCGTTTAATACATACAACGAATATCGAGTTTAAAAAATCTCCAAGTGATAAAATTTTATTGTGATACTATCAATACATTGACTGCATCATTTGTAATATAAAATAGTGAATGATTAACAACTATTACAGAAAATAAAACGAAATAGATCACTGAAATGCCCTACCAAAATGCTAGGAATACTTAAGACTTCTATACAATCGGCTAAAGAATATAACATAAATAACATATATATGTAAGTTATTTACAATACAAGAGGAAGTCTATAAAAAATTAATAGTTTATTAAGAAACAAGGAAATATGTTTTTCATTTCTCAAAAGCAATAACTGAACTACCAAAAGCTTCTATATCGGCTGAAAAGTCCTAAGGTAGACACTATTTATAAGTGCTTCTAACGAAAAAACCACATATTTTTTAGAAAACCATTTATTTTTCAGGGAAAATTTGATATGGTATTTCATTCAATAAAAATGTGAATAAGAAATCAGTGGGGAGCAAGAGGATAACCGTCATATACACATCCATCATATACATATCCGTCAAATACACATCCGTCATATACACATCCTTTGCCACCTCTGTAATCGAAACAGATCTTGATTATATTCGTTTTTAACTCATAAAGGCCCAAACATATATTAATATACATCGAATAATAGCTGTAGAGAACTAATATATTATTTAAGACAAAGATTACATTGTTTAATATACATTTTATTATATATGTGGAAAGCTGTTTATTAAATTAGATATAATCCTTCGCTCGGTGTGGAAGTAATAGTATAGGTAGTCATTTAACCTAAACAGAGTTTTGATTTTATTCGCAAATAATAAAATTTCAAGTCTATAATAATAATAATAATAAGTTGAATATAACTTATCGATTTTTTTTTTTGATTGCTTCAGTTCTGAAATTATTTTAAGACTTATACTTATATAACTTATTGTTTTGTTTATTTTTCTTTTTGCTTAGCTTCTTCAGAACTTTGGTTATTAAACACTTTTTTTTGCTTCTTTTTAAGGCTCACATCTACGAGTCCAGTACCAACAGGTCATATGGAGTAACACACAGACACATTACATCTTCATTTAAGTATTAGTTATTATTGCAATTATTTTTAATTAATTTTAAAGTTTAAGAATATTATTTTTTTAATTTTTATGTAATTAGTATCCCTAACTGTGTATTTTAATTTAATAATAATTTTTATAATTTTAAGTTTTTGAATAACATAATATTGAACATATATGAAGGATGTTAACTTGAAATAAGAAAGTATATTCATACGATAAGTATGTTACTACGGTAATTATAATTGTATCTTTCAAATGCTTATTTCTTGTTATTAAGAATCGTAAAATTTTTATATTTTAAATAACAGAATACATATTTTATGTAAAGAAATTCAGTAAATTTAAAAAAATTTCAAAAAACACTCTAATTTAAATTTTAATTAGGGTATTTAAAATTTGGAATAAAACGAAATCAAACAAAGATTAAACATTGTAGTGGACCAATCTTTCTAAAGAATATTAGTTAACTGCTAGACCTCTGTTCAAAGAGCAATATTAGTACTATGAAAGATAATAGATGGTTTTAAAACGGGATCTTTACCATTGCTATTGCAACATAACCTAACTTACTCAAGTACTCTGTTAGAATAAGAACTAATTAAAAATTTCTTTCGTTTCCAAATTTATTTTGTATATACAATTTCTTTGCAATAATCAATATGATTCTGTGTGATTCTACTTTGTGTGTAATGGAGTACACTATTGTTTCACAATAGAGTTTGATATTCCAAATTTTGAATCACCCTGATATTATTTAAAATAATAAAATAATTGAATATGATCTTTGCTGTTAAATGAAAGCGCACATAAGCTATAAAAAAGTTTGTGTAAAAGTTGGGCTTCTACTAAAATAAATTGAAGTTATTGAGTATTCTATGCTTAACGATTTTTTAGAGTGCTTTTATCGCGATATATACTGATAATGTGGACTCATACATTTTTTTTAATTTAATTTTTAAAATGAAAAAATCAACGTTTGAAGTTAATATTATAGTAATTTTGATAGTAAAATATCTATATACGACATAAATAATTATAAGTGCAATATTTATTCAAATCAAAATCAATATTACTTTAATGACGATGTAGTTTTATTTTAATATCAATCACATTTTTTTATTTTTTGAAGTAATTTCTCAAATTTGTTGCTTCGATTAATATCTTAAAAATTTGTTTAAATATTTTTTATTTTATATGTGCCGTAAAGTATTTCATATGTTTAATATTTTTTTTATAAAATTTTTCTTTATGTTAAAAGATAAAACATAATTTGTATTCTATATAACCAAAAATACATATATTAATTGTAATGAAATTAATAGTAAAATATTTAAAAAATTTTGTACAAATAAATTTCTTTATTCCGCATATAATATTTTGTTTACTATAAGTTAATTAATTGATGTATAATGTATTTTTACACCACAGCACAGAGGAGTACGTGATTTCGGTACGTCCCTAGCGCAGCAGGTTTCTAATGAAACGAAATTCCAGCACTCGTACAGAATTTGTTTGAGCGCAACTAAGAATGAAAAATAGAGTAATTAAATGCCCGCGAAGATTCAATACATCAATCAATATTGAAATAACTACATTCATGTCAATTCATTAAATAAATAATTTACAAAATAAACAAAAACAAAGCACATCAGAAATGAGCACCCAACAGCAAATCTGCTGAACTCCACCATTCACAACAACAGTCATTAATAGGAAGTTTTCAATACTCATTACTAAGATTTAATGTCGTTAATATCGAAGAACCTAATTGAATTTAACTGCAGTATGAAATGCCAAATTCCATTTGATGGACTTTTAGAAATAAAATGAAGTACAACTAACAAAAATTGAAAATAATTACATTCAGCATTTATAAAATAAATTATATGTATAATTAATATTAACGCCTAAAATTATAGTTGCAAATTTTGAAAATTCATTCAATAAAGTAAACTCATAATATATGTAGAATGTGTTTTTATTATAAAATATGTATAATATTTTAACAACAAATAATGTAGAAACCTTTCAGTGTTTTCATTTTATAGTTAGTTTTCAATAAGAAAGTATATATTTATTACAAGGTATAAAATTTAATTACATAAAAAACATAGAAACAGTCTATGTTCTATGTCATTCGGAAAGGTAATGGACAAACTGCTAAGCAAAGTATCTTTTATAGAAATATTATCAGTAACAAGTTAGTATTAAGCTAAGCTATATATAACTAACTTAACTAAGAAATTTTTAAAGGAATGATATGGAATTTTGTTAGTGGTGTCACAGTAAACAATTGCAGAGCGTATGGTCAGTAGAGTTCTGCTCGTTCATAAAATCCTACATTTTTCTGCTGCAAGATGCAGAGGAAAATGGGTAACGGATCCTTATTAGCACATCAGCATATACAGTAATAACGGCTCTAGAGCGATAGACATCAGCGTCATCAGAATAAAAAACATAGACTTCCATTTTATAAAAATAAAAAGGTTGGAAATTGCACAAAAAGAGAGTATTAATAAAAAGAACGTCTTTATATGGATGTCTGCATTTTTAAATATATGTGAGTTTAGTATTTTAATTTAAATTTTATCTATTTGATTAAGTATTTAGATATAACAGTTAAAAATGGCTCTTATCTAGACCAACTCTTATACATATGTTATAATGGTTACTCACTAATTTTTTAAGTGTAACATAATAATTCTTATTTTTAAAATTTTGTTATAAATTATAAAATATGTAATCAGTTTTTAAGATTTGCAATAAATACCTTTAACGTCTAATAACACCTATAGTTAAACACTAAAACACTGTTGGTCAAAATGATATATTGTATTATAATACAATATAACTCACTAATAAGCAAAGAAGATATACTGACCAAACAGATACAACCTTTTCTAAATTTTTTTTCTGGTTACAACGACCAAACAAAAAAGTTTTCTAAGAATACGCAGATAAACTAGCCAGGAAAGGAGCAGCCACACATAGTAAAAATGAAGGAGAACCAAAACAAAAAGGATTACTGGGATAATCTACTAGAATTAATATAATCCAAATCACTTATTATTATTATAACAATAGGGATATCAGGAATTCCTATAAGTTATTCTTATCAAAAGAATAACTTAGAATCATCACAGGAATCTTAACAGGACACTGTAAACGAAAAGACCACCTTACGAGACTATGCATATATACGGATACAAACTGTAGATTTTGCGAAGGGAATGAAGATTCAACCACTCATATGCTGTTAGAAGGTCCTGTGCTAATGCGCATACGGAATATACTCCTCGAACTGTATATCCTTACGGAAGAACCAATAAAACTCTGTAAAGTAGGTTTTAGACTATTTCTTATAGAAGCAACAATGCTTAGAGACTTACTCTAAACCCTAAAGGCGGCACAGACGGTCGCAGTGTCATATTACATATCAATAATAATAATCCTACAAAAGTATTCAGGGATACAAAAAATATACTTGTAACATTTCTGCACAATCATATGCTATTCCAGCTCTGAATTACAGTGTCTGAGTCTCAAAACTTTTAATGTTTTGAAGTACAATACTAATAATAGTTATAATAATTTTAACAGAAACATTAAATAATTCTGGATTATAGAAATATTGTATTTTAAATGTTAAATATATGTATCGTATTTAAACATTGCCTATCATAATTTTATTGTAAAACATAGAAGTCGTTAGAAAGATGAGACTCTCTAACAAATATTGAATCTATTATATATATATATATATATCCATTTTTATAAATATCAGCACACATTTTTTAATACAAATGAATCAACTTGTGAATTTTGACCAAACAAAATAAATTGTTTGAAAGTTACCTTCTGCTCAAAAAGTACTCGGATTTTGTAAATAAAACACACAAATTTGAATTTTATTTCAAATTTATTTTATCTCCTTTAAAATATGCTCCTTCTGAAGCGATACACATATGTCAACGCTGAACCCAATCTTCCATACACTTTTCGTAGGCCCGTGCAGGTATGGCTTTTAGTTCCTTCGGCGAATTCTGTTTTACCGATTCAATCGACTCAAAACGCTTACCACGAAGGAGCAATTTGAGTTTCGGGAACAGGAAAAAGTCGCACGGCGCCAGATCTGGCGAATATGGTGCCTGAGCGATGACAGTGGTGCCGTGTTTGGTCAAAAAATCGCGTACAACAAGAATTTTCCATAGTAAAAATCACTAAATGCCTTGAGGTAGTCTCACATTAACAGCTGCTGTAAACAAACTAATTCACAGATGCCGCTCAAATTTGTACCATATGTCAAGAAAGGGTGCACCAACATAACACAAAAAAAATTTTTGAAAAAGATCTATTATATTATAACAAACAACAAAATCCGGATACTTTTTGAGCAGAAGGTATATTATAACATAACTAGAGGGTTAAAAATTTACAAATAATTAACAGGCAACATTTATTGAACGTTTTGACAATGCTAACGATACTCTCGGTACTCGATACGATGGCAACAAATAAAATGTAACTTATATATAGCTATTATTTGACTAAGATGAAATATCTTGACTTGACTTTACTTGAACTTTATGGAAATCGGATTGAATACAATTCATTGTGCGCTTTTGAAATCTAATCAGTGATTACATACCTACTGTGACTGAGTACAGTACACAACATGATATATACGAATCGGTCATCCTTTTGCACTAATTATTCTTCAACTAATTGATAAATATCTGTCGAAATATATCAGCAGATTGACTTTTAGTATTTAGAAATTTCGTTTCGAAGTAAGTTTTTTATTTCAGTAAGTACTACTTTGATTACTAATATAAATTTATTTAATTTATCTTATAAATTTAAACTCTTGCAAATTTCTCTTTGATCATTTAAAATTTCACTTTGTATTGTAATTAATACAGCACAATAAATCACTTCACTTAATTTTGTTTTGTCAATTTATAAGTGTTAGGTACTAAGAATTTTTATTTAAACTGTTGGCACAACGTTCAATAGTTCTTTACGTTTTTCTATTAAGCACTGTAAATAGATCTCTTCGGTCTCATTTTTTGCCAAACAACTGGTTAAATCTGCGGTAGTGTATATATCTTGACGTAACTTAGCCTCAAATGGATAAACAGTTAATTCTTCATCCGTTGAATTTCTTTTCTCATATGTGTCAAGTTGCTCAAAAAACTGTCCAAATTGTTTCGACTCTTCAATATATAAATTGAAGAGTTCTTCTTGAGTATTACGCTCGTTATAAATTTCCTGACATTTTTCGGGTAAGTACAAAACCATATCCTTCAAATTTGGCAAATCGAAGTCACAAGTGATTGTCACATCTTGTTGATCTGCTTGTATGACGAACAAGTAAAACTAGAAATATAATTAAAATCAGTAAAGATATGAAATGTTTTATTTGAACTAATTTACAATATTTTTTATCTTACCAATGTTAAGCAAATTCGTAGAAAAAATGATTTGTCCATTTTATTATTAAATATATTCTTTTATCCACAAAACTTTATTAGAACTATTAACTTAAAGAAATATACTTCTTTCTTCAGTTGAATTTGTTTTGTAAATAAAATTTAATTCATTAAAAATTTATTTGAAATTTAATTTAATTTAATTTATTTTTTCAAGTATATTGTATGTATAGAAGATAAAAAATTTTTTATCAGCACTCAATGTTCGTCAATTTCAGCTAGACACTCCCTGGGTATTACAACTGAAATGACGGAAATTTTTGTATTGCTAATTACACCTGACGCTCACAGCTCGCATTTCGCAGCTCACAGTCAACGCTCATTTTTCGAAACAAATAAAGCTCAAAGCGAAATACTTTCGTAAAGTCCTAGCCAATACACGAATGGATTTTTTATGTCATTGATGTTAGCCATTTTAATTATTACAAGTAATACATAAATTTAGCATATCCAGTAGGTGCTGACATCATTGTTTTCACTTTACATATCAAGAGTGATTATTGCTCTTTTGGGAATATAATTACGTATATTTGAGTTACAAAGCTTAAAATAATTGAAACAGAAGGTTTACAGTTGCTTCGTAAAATATACTCAATATTTATAATAAAATAATAAAAATAATGTGGAATATAAGAAATTAAACCGATGGTTAAAAATTAATGAAACGTTTGTTGTTTAAAAAATAATAAATAAGCATACTGCATCAGGGACCGTAACAGTTATCATTAAAAAATAAAAATCATTCGTTTTTTAAATAAAACTTCAAAAATAATAATTAAATTTGCTTTATATTATATTCCTCAAAAATAATTAACTCTTCACGTGTACCCAACAATTTTGTATGAAATTACAAAAGCAACTGCCTTGTATGAAAAATCCATTTTATATTTTCATTTTTAAAAATATAAGTCAGGCCAATATGAGTTATATTTTGTTTTTAAAAATAAGAGTTGATCTTGATTTTTATATTTATAAAACAAAAATAACAGTTATTTGTAGGTCTTAAAATCAAAAGCATAATATAAGAGTTATTTTTGATGAATATAATATAAAGCAAATTTAATTATTATTTTTTGAGTTTTATTTTAAAATGTTCGGTCCCTGTACTGCACCAAAAATTAACTATAAATTATTTACTTATAAAAAAATTATAATGTAAAAATTATTGAGGGCAAAAATTTTGCATATATCAGAATTAAAAATTTTTATTAACCCTCTTAAGTCTTGATTCTTGAATTTCAACCCATTATTGCGAGAGGCTTAGATGTCTGGAGATATATGGTTTGATCAGCTTTGAACTCAAATTAGGTGTAAGTTGAAAAATTAAAAATAATATTGACCAAACTAATATAAGCTTGCGAATAGAACAG